AGTCTCTGTAACGATTCAAAATGTTAATTTGCAGCAGAAATTATGTAAAAACTCACAGTACATTGTCACTCACATACGCAAGATATACCGCTGACTGTCATACCAGCGGCTAAAACCTTGGTGAAAAAAAAGTTACGAAAATCCCAACTTTTCAGCAGTAGATTATGATCTGAAGTCCGTACATGTGCGCGGGATACCCCTTACAGCGCAAAAGAAACATACTCTTAACTTGCAAAAATGTTGAACGGGAAAAAGATTCCAACCCTCCACCGTCTGCTCCATAGGCTCCGCACTTATCCACTACGCCAGACGGCCACACCTGGTTCTCAGGTGCGGATCCTACTTAACGAGACTTGACATGTCAACGAGCAACCGAGGCTCATAACTTCTTTTAGAGAACCGCTTGGCAGGTAATGGATACAGATCTGAAATCAGCGTATCACGCCGATTCAGATGATGTATAGCTTATCTCATTTCGCACTTTCGACTCTGGGTCCGCCCCTTGTAAGTATTCAAAAAATAATTTCATTTTGAATCGTGGCGTCCTTGACTAGTGAAATCGAGCAACTTCTGCTACATAGAAAGACGGCTCTTCCGCGTACTGGTCAGCTTACTGCACTAGACCCAAACATATAAGTTCCATTCAAAGTTGTGGATTAATATACAGGATGCCCTAAAAGTATTTAGGTGATATTTGATCGTTGATTTTCCTCCCACATCTTTTGCCGAAAGTATACTATTCCGTAATTCTGCTTCATCATACAATGGAAGAATACCAGGTCGCAGTGGCGAACCGAAATGATATACATATCATTAGATGCGTCTTGATGAGCTGATTCCAAATCACCTTTCTTATCTGCTACGAGCTTTTCCAGAAGAAGCTATGGATGTTTAAAGATGTGAGATTGTTGGAATTTTGATGCGTAATGCGCTCTAAAGGCTAGCTTAGGAGTGATCAGTTTGCATGGTCTTGAGTACACTGACTACAAGAAATGCGTACATACAGCGAACACACTCAGACAATCGACCGGACCCCTCCGCCGGACAGTCGGAATCTGTCAGAGTCGCGCCGGACCCAGTTGAGCAATGAGAGCGGGGCAAATGGGCGGTCCCTTCTTGTAGGTCGCGGTGACATCACTGGCAGGCAAGTGGGACGCTTCTCCGGCCCTGCTGCAAAGGTACGCCATTTCTGCTCCGGAGGTACGCCAGATTTGGCAGAGCCGCGCCGGAGAAATTTGCCCGGCGCGAGTCCGCCAGATTTGGAAGAGCCGCGCCGCAGAAAATCGGAGGGGTCCGGAGCACAAATGGGAGGTCTCCGGAGCAGAAAATGGGAGGTATCCGGAGCAGAAATGGGAGGGCTCCGGCGGACGAGTGGCAGACCCACCGCTGGGGAAACGCCGCGGCCCTGCCATTTCTCAGGCGGAGGGGTCCTATCCGCTGTCTGAGCATGAGTAAGCGTCTTTGAACATGAAGTTCTTGTAGATGTGATACTGAATGTTCGCTAAATTTGGACATTCAAACGCCCATAGCTTCTTCTAGAGAAGCTCGTAGCAGATAGAAAAGGTAAATTTGGAATCAGCTCATCAATACGCATCTAATGTTATGCATATCGTTTCGGTTCGCCACTGCGATCTGGTATCCTTCCCTTGTTAGCTTTACAGTATGCAGCAACTCACCGATCGCACTTCACTGCAGTAAGAATACCCTGGAAGAACTGGGGAAGGTTTTGGGACGCTCTGTATATGCTCTATGCTACAAATATCAAAAACTCAAATATTCGATGCTCAGCGAATTTTCGCGTGGTTAATGCTCATTGAATTTTTGAATACTTGACGCTCATCTATTCGAATATTCGATGAACATCGAATGATCAAACTGATGACCATCGAATATTCAACTACTGAATAATGTTCGAAGTTGAGATTCTCGAGTTATGACATTCGAGTAATATTCGAGAATGAAAGTTTTCGAAATAATAATCGAGCTCTTAGATTTTCGGAAATACGAGTTCTCGAATCATTTGCATTCGTATGATTTACTCGAATAAATTCGAATAATCACTCGATTTGGTCCAAAGCATGCCTTCTTGTCTGAGTGCTTGAAGCTGCTATGTCTGTGTGAGCGCAAAGAGCGCGGCGAGATCGTGGTCACAATTTTACGAAGGCTTTTATCATCACATGGACGCTACCCATTCGAATTTCATTCTCCATTGGATTGAAAACAAATTTCTTGACCATAGAAATGTTTAGCTGTACTTCAGTTATGGCAAAATCCACTTATGAGAGCCGACAGACCATGTGTCTTTGCTCTAGTCAACTGTACACTCCGTTTAGATCCAACTTCACGCCGAGGTTTTGAATTCGTCGTGCGTGGCGCTTCTTATCGCGATGACACGGATAGAGTGCTTCAACCATCGTCAATCAAAAGGTTTTGCACACAACCTGGGAGACTGGGTAGGCTCATAAGCTATCAAACCCCGTTGACCCCCTAATCCGCCCGCTTTACTGTGGAATGAACATAGATTATTGAATACGTGTTAGCAGATGAGCGAACATAGGCGATTCATCCACCGCAAAACTAACTCACTGCGGACGCTGTTAACGTCTCTGCGATCAGGCGCTCGCTTCTCTAACCATCTGCCATCTCTTCCATGCACAAAGTATCTTACAATAGAAGGAAAGCTGGTAGAAGTGGCCTTCTAAAATGAGATGTACACTGTCTTGTAGGACTTGGAACATTGATCCCAATTCTACCTTTACCATCTGCTGTGGGCGAGGAGTCATGAAGATTTTTGTGAGTGATTGAATGCAAGTCCAGTATAAAATCAGTCGTAACCTTTTCTCAACGTTAAAATGAGGCAGCAGCGAGTTGGTATATTCAAATCAAGAATATTTACTGCACTGAGTGACCTGAATATCAGTTAAGCCCTAAAAAATCTCACAACTGATTTTACACCAATCTTGCATTTTACTTTATACTTTATACTTCCTTCATAACTCCCCGTCCAAAAACCCACAGCAGATAGCAAAGTTAGATTTGGAATCAGCGCTCCAAGCTCTACATGATAGTGTACATTTCATTTTGAAAGACCACTTCAACTACTATTCCTTCCCTTATTAGTCGGACGCAACGCGTCCAGTCTCTGCGTGCCATGACTCGCCTAAACTTTTGCATTGCTGGGACATAAATCAGTGGTGAGCCTATAATTCACGAGATTTCAGGATATTTTTCCGGCACTTATGATAAGAATGGAATCATAACTAATGAGTTAATGTGGCAATCGCCGGTTAACTTGTCGGGTAATACCTCTTACCCAATGTCATGTAAATTTCATAGTTATAGTTATCCTGAGAGAATAGTCAGAAAAATCAGCTCGAAACTAAACCAGATGATGAGCCTAAATGACGGATTTTCAAACTAACTCTGAACCGCGTTTTTGTCGTCCTATCTGAGTAAACGATTTGAATGAACAGAACCTCCTGTTTCAAATTCTGCATACCTTTATTCTCGTCCTTACCTCCGTCGTCGCATTTCTGGGACGGCATATTCTGAAACATCATATCCTTATCTTTGTGGCAATAGATTGTTTTACTCCACCAGCACCGCGCAGAAAGGTCCTTTCGACCTTACTTGCATTATGCTTGCGTTTTTTCTTTTTTTGTGGTTCGAGTTACATCATGTTTGGCACATTTCAAATTTTGAAGCATCGAGCAGCACGTGCTCTACATACGGCACTTTGGCGAAATCCTCCAGTTATGAGTTTCACGAACATTGTATTGAAGACTGGTGTGAAACGTAGTATTCGTCCTCTTGTTAAAGAAGACGGCTGAACAATTTGAGTGAATGTTGAGTTTTTAGACACACGTGTGAGGAATCTTCTCGGTCATTCCAGCCAATTTCCACGGCTACTTCCCGTTTGACAGAAAAAAATCAGATGATTTGAGACAAATGGATGTATCATAGACGAAAGTGAGAATGCAAGGGGTCACCCAGTTATAGTCCCAGCTGGTTCGCGCCATCTTCAAACCCCGAGCGACTATCTGGAAGGAGTCATGGGCGTTTGAATGTGCGATTTGTGAAGTATTTTGTGGAACATGTTTCACGATGGTTTCAAAAACATTTATTTAGGTTTTTAATGTATGTGGTTCTTCCTTGTAATAAGAATATCCATAGCCACTGTACAGCTTCATCAGGCTGCCTTTCAACGAAATATGTTTTGTCATACGAAATATGTTCTATTATGTTAGAACTCGAATGATTCCTATACTCGATCATAATTTCGGCGACAGTTGTTCGGCAGACAATAAACTTATTTTTGGAATTAGCGTTTCAAGACAAGTCCGATGATATACAGCTTGTTTGGAGGTTACAGGCAGTGGCTCGACAAAACCAAACATCTCTAAATTTTGATATCGAAGGTTGCTTGCGTCCCAAATATCAGAAAAGAGCAGGTCCCTGCGCACTACATGCTGCCGCTGCCTAAAAAACTGTCCCTGAACCCGTGCGCGCAAGCCATTCCTACACGCGCTCGGACGAGCTTGCTCCCCCTCCCACCGTCAGAAGCGACATGCCGGAATGCTATAAACGTGAGGGTCCCGCAAACGACTCTACGTCTCTAACCACGGCGGGGAGTGGCCCACTCGTCCAAATTCAAAATGGGAACCCTTAGAAAATGCTGGTTTTCGACATTTTCGTGCTCTTCAAAGTGCATTTTCGAAATCAGCGCGTCGAATCACCCATGTAAACGAAAAAACTTCAGGTCGAGGACTTGCCGAGCCACTGCCTTTAAGCTCTGGCAATTTCCCACTGAGCATTCCAGAGTCTACGCGAAGAGAATTCTTAGCAGTTTGACCGTGCAAGATGGCCTTGTTTTGAGTTACAAAAATCATATAAAGCAAGAATTTACGCTCGCTTATCTAGAAGCCACTCGGAGCCCTAATCTAGGCAATCCGAGAACGAGTATTGCGTTATTTTCAAGGTGCCGCTCTGTCTCGACACATCGGTGTTTGTTGTTACAGAAAACAAAACAAATAATTTCAACAAATCAAACACATCTCGAGGTGGTAGATTAGATCACCACATACGTCATAATTTATCGCTGATGGCACACATTGATTTGATACAGCCTCCTCCACCAACAGACGGAGACAGCACACTGATACTATAGCGAAGCAAGCCATTGCGAGGTGAGCAGGGTACATTTAATCCATCAACTTGTAAAATCACAGAAACAACGTTTTCCGGCAAACAGTAACGCAGAAATTACAGAGAAATACACAGAGCAAACAAGTGAAATTCATGAAAAACAACAGCACACGCAGTAGGCATGAAACCAGCATCAGCCGAACAGGCGAATATAACCAGAAAGACACGGCTGTAGACAATATGAGCCTTGGGGACGATAGATGCACCAGATCGTCTCATCAATTAAGTAGAATGCACCCTTGGATACAACTCCAAAAGAATTGTTTATTGCTAAGCACTTTGACGCGCCACACATCCACTGCAGAATATTCAGTGTTCCCCAGTCTTTCAAATGCGCAATAAGCATATAAGATGCAATACAACCTGATGGTGAAATCATAAACACCCGAATACGCGCATTTCAAACAAAATCGCCGAGACAAAAATCACAGCAGACCCAAAACAGTCTGACGATGAGATGAAGCAAGGGTAAACTTTAGACGCGACTAAATATCGAGAAAAAGCTGTGGAAATGCCATGCAAGTATTGCTTTACACTAATTTGCCTCCCCTGCTACTCTCACGCAAGAATGAGAATGAATGATTACAGAGAGATAATCTACATTGACATTCACATGGTGTGAGAGTCAACGGGTCGGAACCCATCAAAGCAAAGCTGCCTACAGCCTGTGTAACGAAAGCTTTTCGCCCCACATCACAGTACTTTCCAAATACAGTAAGATGCTCACTGATCGATCCAAATGGGTGATAAAACGCGCGGAAAGGCTGCCAAGTATGACAACATCCAACTGACTACTGGGGAAGAAGGGAAAAGAAATCAACCGGAATTGCATGTCAGCGCGTACATATATGACAATAACATCAATAATCACCCTACCTATATAAATTTATAGCACAGGGCAGGTAGCGATGGAGCACACATAAATGAAAGTCAAACGGTTTTTACAGACTTAGGAAAGATGAGGACAACATCGAACTTTACTTGGCAAGTGGTCGCGTCAGATAGAGTTTCTCCGTGCCTGATGAGAAAATGGGGTGTGCAGTATAGTGTTGGATCAGGGAAGCCATTGATGGGAATGCTCTCGAACCAATGTGTAACTGTCCGCCAATTGTTTGCACTTTGAAATGTTTATTGCGTTCCACACCACGCATTGATATCGAAAGGTCGCCAGGCTGAAGTAAAGTACGTCGGTAACATCTCGACAAAATGCAATGCTAAGGTACCAATGCTATCTATCAAATAAATGCGCATTTAACGCACATAAAAGAAACTCTCAATGACACTGAAAGCTCAAAACAAGTAGCTTTGTTTCCAAAGATGCGTAGCGCGCATCAAGAACTGTTTAAACGTCTGACAAAAAAGTGGGGAAAAATAGAAAGATGAAAAGAATTTGAACAAATGTGCATCTGTTTTCCAAACTATTCGGTTTTGGAGCTGAGAACGGTTCTCCACTTCCGCGTCTATTTGAAACTTACATTGCTTTCGCTGTCTCTCACAAGAAATTCGCCTTCCCTTCCATTCGCAAGAAGACGATCGGCTTCATCTCGACTTATTCGACCAAAGAACCACGGCTCCCGTTCCATGCCTACTCCAGCACAAGAGTTACCTGCACCAACAACCTGAAACAAAGAAGTTAGTCGGCGATTCTGTTTTGCGAAGACCGCACTGAGGCTTCACTGCACGGTTGAGTTGAATACACTTATGGCACCATTTCGCGCATAGCGTCAGGTGATAAACGGATTGAAAAAAGCAGTAAAACTTAACATTTACACATTCAAAAAATCGGAAACCTTCATGTGAATAAGGCCAATGCTTACCTCAATATAGTTTTTCGGAACAAGACCTTGTTGTCCAACTGAATTCCGAGCCATCCACCAGTCGGGATCGTGCGCCGGATGGTCAATAATGTCCAAAAGCTCGCCTAAAGCAAACTCACTCAAGATCAAACATCTCGGGCATTAAAGCGTGAAACAGATGATTGTGATGATCCTAAAGCTACTGAGAAGAGGGCTTTTAAGATATCACTTTCAGATAACCCACTAACTATGTTACGAAGTGATAAAAATAGAGAATAATTACGACATTAAAGCACCAACGACTTCGACAAATGCGTACAAGTATGTACGAAAAAACGAGCAAATTCTTACCTTTTCTGAAGGACAATTCCTCCACTGTAGAAGCATCAAAAGAATACAGCGCCTTGACGCACTAAAAAAACTAGATTCTGAAAAGGCAAGGGCTAGCATTTTCCAAAAAGAAGTTGAAGAAAATGATGAGATGGAGATAATGGAGTGTCGGTAGAAGATCATTTTCTTACATTGATGTTAGTTATTTTGGCACTTGAATACTAGCAACAAGAAATGAAAAGATAGTTGCAACCGAAAAAGGGAACATACGAAAGGAACAGCAAGTAATTAGCTCATCAATAAACGTACTTCTAATACGGACTTATTCTGTGCTGATGCTGCAGGTGATACTGTAACTGGGGCAGGTCGTCCGAGTATGGAACATCCATTTGTTCCGTCATTACCATTTCCACTGGGTTGAGGTTCCAGAATTTCCTCCACGTAATTCGACGGAAACCATCCAGTTCGCCCATCACTCTAAGAAGGATAAAACATTATATGTTGAATGAATAAATCTGATTGCTGCGCGTTTTTCACAAAAATTAATTCAGCGGCAAAAGTTTTTCAGAGTAAAAAGCAAAAGATAAATGCAAAATAAACTTACCTCTCCTTTCCACCATCCATCGCTGCTTTTATCCAACACAGTAATAGTGTCGCCTTTCACCAACTTGAGTTCATCCTCCAATCGAGGATCGTATGAGAACTTTACATTTGCCCGAGAACTCATGCCACCTACCTAAAGTAAGTGCTCAATTTGATTCATCATATTCAATGCATAATTGGTTGAAACGAACACTGAATTAATAAAAACAAAATCAATAAATGGGCTAGAACAGCGAGATCTGGTTGCAGCACGGGCAATTGAGATGGATGAAAAAAGAAAAAGAAAAAGAGCCTACTTTCACTGTATCCGACGATGTTGCTTGGCCGTTTCTGATTTGATTGTTGTTTCCGCTGTAACCGAAACGAGGATCAACAGCCCCCACAGACGCTGACGGGGATTTGTCCTAGAATTTCATATACTGATTTCAAACAATGAAGGTGTTATATAACAAATACTATAATCATATTTTAGTCACGCCATCAGGAAAGCAAATAACCCGCACCAACAGATGATAAAATTCAACCAAGCAATCGATTTCTATTAGTCACGGCTTGCTCCGCAAACTCAAACTGACGGTAAATTGCACGACAATTTGACCACTGCCTGTTTCGAGAGGGATATACATTGCACAAAAGCATGCTGTGAACATTTGGGTGGATGCCATTCCCTTTACATCTATAGCAGTAACGCTGCGCATTACTACTTGCAGTAATTGCTAACATACACAAAGTGTGATAGTAAATTTCCTTCTCAGCTCAGATTTTTACAGCTTCTCTAAGAATGTTATAGAGAATGAGGAATGTATTTCTTATGCAAGCTGCAAACATATGTTATCGCAATAAGCTCAAAATTACGCACCTCTTTACACGGACTTGTTCAATGACTGACAACATTGATCATGAGTGCATAATGAAACAAAAGATCATAGACTCATGATAATGATTGCATTGCACCATTCTGGATAATTTTTTCGGCTGTGATCGTGAGAATCACAATGCAGGAGTTTATTTTCAGACTGTCAGCATAACATGACGAGGAAAATAGCAGATGCAACGGAACCAGAAAATCGATGGAAAAAGTGAAACAAAAGCTGATGTCTGGCAGGGAAAAAAAGAAACAAGGAAACGGCACTCTGTTTCTTCTGCCAGCTTTAGAGTACCCTCAAGACAAAGTCGAAGTACCCTCAAGACAGAGTAAACCGGTTCTTTTTTACTTACCCCCTACTCATCCTCTAACAAAGACATTTTCCTATTCAAAATTAGAGAATTGCATGCTATAATGTAAGAAATACGCTAACTTTCTTTTCATTCGATCCAGCTATGAGCAAACAACGAAGTGACACAGAGTCTACTATGCAAACAATTCGCTATCAATATAGCTTCGCACATAAGGGGTGGAGAAGACATTAGGAGTGAACGAAAGAATATTGAGAAATTGAGTTGATATTTTAGATACAGCTGAACTTCATCCTTTAAAAGACCGTAGATGATTTGTATCAGTCCTAACAACCGTGGAAGAATCAAAACAAATGAAGTGAAGTCCAAAAGGAGGAACCGCAAGACAGAGTAAAAAGACTAGACCCACCCGAAGCGACATTGAGAGAACCGGGTCTTAAACAAACTTAGCTAGAGCAAAAACAAGGTTTCGGACGAGGAGAAGACGGGCCTATGGTAAGTGGGTAATCGAGTTTTTACGTGATCGCAAAACTTCTATATAACCACGAAAGCCAGATAACAAGATGATAGATATCTGCTAGATAACTCACCGTGAATCGTTTACAAGATTGCATAAACGTAGACAACAGAATTCCTACACTTGGATGTAATAAAGATGTTGTATGATTTAGTACAAAAAGTTCCTGATCTGACAAGGAGTAAAATAATGGCAAGCACCGGCAGCTATCGAGTGTATGCGGTGCACTACGCGCTTTATCACTGCATTGTTTGTGGGGTCAATATTGCACTTATGCACACACTACACATGCAACAACTTTTTGTTTGTATGACGAAATTTATTGACATAACTATAGTCAAAAGGGCACTTTTAATAATAACTGTACTGATCAAGCTGAAACTCACTGGATCAAACTCAGGTGCTCTTGGACGACTCTTCGTGAATCCTTTGATCGTCCCCTTGGCTTTATCCACCAATGACTCACGACGCACGTAATTGGACGGCACAAACCCAACGTTGTTGGAGTCGTTGATCACCTGAATACAACTGCAAGCTAGTGCTATGGCATACACCGTAGCGCAGACGCATAAAAGGCAATAAAATAGAAATATGACATAGAACACACGTCAATACTAGCAGGGAGCAAGGGGTGACGCAATGAGCGCGCTATTGTTTCAGTGATAGCAGGAAGATATTTTTAGATCCACCTACCTTCCACCAGTTCTTGCTGTCGTCGATAAGCCGAAGACGCTCATTCTTCTTAATTGTAAGCTCCTGATCTTCTTGTGCCAGGTAATCATATTTTACAATCACATAAGAAACATCCTCGGACATCACAGCAGCCGATAGCAGCCGGATGAATGTGAGAAACTAAAACATAAGTTAAATTCAAAACAATGACTTATTATAATGAACATGAACGATGTATAAATGACAAGAAGAAAATCTAATATAGCGGTAAGCATTATTACGCTCTTTCCAGATCCAGATATACCATGTTCGAACATGACAGCCAGTATGAAAACATCAAAATATTTCGAACTCTGGTGCGAATTTTTGAAGTAGTGAGAATAGTGAAGTATTGAAAGGTAGCAGACTATGCAGCGTACTTAGGCACATCAGAATAGAATGCAAACCTATGAGCAGAACCTATCTGTCCTAATCAGCTGTTTCGACCGCTTCAGCTTGAAACGATGATACACCAGAATAACGAAGCAATGCAGAAAGTAAACTCAAGTGTACATAAAACAGAGAGGATCTAGCAGGAAGAAAGGAGTGAGAGGCCGAGACGATATGTCCGAGCGTTGGTAGTTTTAGTCAATGCTATAAAACCGGTATTGAACGGCTGCGGATAGGACGTATTAGAGCGTAGTTATGCATATCGATCGAAGAAAATGTGCAAGCTGTAATGGAGAAGGGAGTGGAGGCGGACTTCACTGCACAACAAGTCATGGCAAACTCTCGAGGAGTTATTCACGTTAATATGCCAAACATCACCAGGCCGATCAATATGCGCTGTAATGGATCACATGGCGTAAATGGAGCAACATAGCTGGCAAGTGCGCATGTGTAGTGCCAGAAAGAGCCGATTACAGCACGCGAGCAGAACCCTGGAGCGGCATGAAGTAGGGCAGCTGTGCGTGAGGTTGAGGTTGCCGCGTGACGCGCTCCGAGCGACTGGATTCCTGTTCAGTGCCGTCAATACGTCAGAAATACCGAGTTTTCAGCGGTGCAAAGCGTTCATTCGGCGTCTGGAGCAATGATGCGTGGGTGTCGCCCCGGTGTGTTCACCTCAGCTGGAAACAGACTACGGGCGGGAAGCTGATTATGCTACGCACCAAAAGCAATGGGAACGTTTGCTCTGATCTGTCGTTTGTTTAGTTTTATGTGTCACCGTTCTAAGAACCTCGAAGTCAGCGTATTTACGACATAGGGTTTTTTTCTCACACTTCGCAGTAAACAGTACCAGCGAGTTCTTCCCACATTACGCACAGTCATCTTCTCGAAAGACTTACACAAAACAGCGGCAACTACGGCGATACATGACCGATGCCTATGGGTCGTTGACAGCTGGTACTGGTCAAGCACTGATGAACCGAAGCTTCAAGAGCTGCATCGCTGCAATTTTTGCGCGTATTGCGATGCCTGCTGTCCGATCGTATGTATTTTGTACTTTATAAGGCCCATTCAGGTGTCAAATTAGATTTTTTGCCTAATAAGTGGGCACTGCAGGTGAAATGCGGTACAACTGCGCGTAAACAAACACGCCTGTGACTCCGGCCTATTGCGCGCAAAATGCCAGCATTACTGGCGTGACTATTTGTTCACGCGCAAATTTTAATGCATTTTAGATACCTGCAATGCGAGCACATTATATTAAGCTGAAAATCTACACGACTGTATACAGTCTGTCCCAATCAGGATCAGACCGAACCATTGGCTAGATCTGCGCGCTCGTAGTGCTAGAGGTTTGCGCTGCATATGCGCGCTGTCTGAGAGAGCGAAAAGATTGAGAAGAGTGCAGACAAGGTAAAGGCTAGTGCATGACGAAGGCGCAGAAGCGGTATCAGTTGAGCGGGCGCGAACGCGACGCGCGCGTATCCTCACCACTGTAAATCCCGCACCTTATGCGCTCTGCGGCTAATGAAGCCGCGTTCGCGCCCGAAGATATTGCGCCTTCGTCATGCAGCAGCCTATAGCCGTAAACGTGACGCAAAACCCTCGCGACACAGACTCCCGCCATGCCAGTTTTGGCCTGATTGGGGTTGGAACAGACTGTAAGCTGCTGCACGACGAGGGCATAATATCCTTGGGCGCGACGGCTTTACCACCCGCAAAGCGCATAAGGTCAGGATCTACAACAGTGGAGATACGTTCGCGCCCGCTCAACTGATATTACTCCTTTGTCGTGCGGTAGCCTTTAATCTTTAAAAATGCGCCAGCTTAGGTTGGTGCAGAACTAATGAGCGTTTTTCTGAGTCTTGTTTCGGACAACTTTTTTTCAGTGAAAATTTTCTTTCAAATAGATTTAGCACACTATTGAGGTCTTTTTATGCTCTATCTAATGATGGTCGAAATGGGCTTTTAGCATTATTCGTTAAAAATCTAACATTGCTTCCCAGATTCGTGTGCGGTGACGCCTTCCCTGATAAGGATAAACTTGTAACCTCCCCTTGCAGCATTGTTTTTCGTACCCCTCGTTAAGTTTATCCTTATGATCAGGGAAAGTCCGCAACCCGCCTTTAAATGGATTCAAGATACAGTCTGCCCCAATCCGGGTGTATGTCAAGAAGCGCGATTTTTATTGCCAGCTGGACACCAAATAGCAAATTATAAGTGTTTTGCAACTTTCTAAAATTATATGAAATTTGGAAGAAGATATATTAGATAGTTGCATGAGTTGTTCAATCTTGATGCTCTAGAAAAATTCAAAAGAGCAATTTTGAAGGTCAAAAACTCATGGAAGTGCAATTCAAAACAAGTTCGTAAATATTTCAGTCCGATTTATAGCAAAAACCATGAAACTCAGCAAATGGTGACCTCAGACGGATAGTAAGCTAATGCACTTTATCCGGTAATTTTTGAAACTCACACTCGCACAGGCAGCACTCAACTGGAGTTTTAAGTGGTGACAGCCAGAGAAATCGCGCCTCTTGACCGTCTCCCCCCCCCCCCCCCCAATCCTAACCAGGCCAAAATTGGCTTGGCGGGAGTGCGCGTCGCGAGGGTTTCGCGCCACTTCTGCGTCTAGCTAGTCTGCTCTCTCCTCCTCTTCGCTCTCTGCGACAGCGCGCGTATGCAGCGCAAACCCCTAGCGCTGCGAGCGCGCAAATTCAGCCGACGGTTCGGCCTGATCCCGACTGGGGCAGACTGTAGACACCAGACTAGCCGATCGCCCTACTTTAGGACGCGGCGCAGTTACAGTCGAGTAGATTTTCCGCTTAATATAGTGTGCTTGCACTGAAGGTGAAATGCGGTAAAATTTGCACGTGAACAAGTAGCCACGCCAGTAATGCCAACATTTTGCGCGCGCAAATGGTCGGCGTCACAGGCGTAGCTATTTCTTTGCGCGAAAATTTTACCGAATTTCACCTTCAGTGCAAGCACACTATTTAAGCGGAAAATCTACTCGACTGTATGTCATTTGGTGTCATGTTAGGCGAAAATTAAGTCGGCGTCCGCGGGTAGAGGAGAACACCTCAATTAGGCATCGCCTCCGCGGGCTGCTGGTCCTTTCGTCCTACTGTTGTGCACCGCGTTGGGACCAGTGGCCCGCGGAGGCGGTGCCTAATTGAGGTGTTCGTTCCTCCACCCGGCCTCCGCGATTTCGCTACAGCAAAAATTTGGTGGTAAGGCCATTTTATCATTCTCTCATACCGTGAGGCTTTTTTTTTCAACTCTCCAAACTATTGTTGCTACGAACATCGCAGACGCCACTTCGATTTCCGTCCAACGTGACGCCTTACGACATTAGATTACTAGCTGCCGACCTAGTCTGGCGCCTAAGAGCCGATCAAACAAATAGTATAAGCCGTCCGCGATGCGCTCGGAGAGCAACGCTGGCGTCCATTGAAGGCAGTTCATGACTGGAAGAGGCGCAGAGAAAACAGGGGGCAAGAGTACACGAGGAAAGAGGAGTGACGCGCGGTACACACTCTGCGCACTCACCGCGCCCTGCGCGGACGGCCTATACTCTGAATGACCGCACTCAAAATCAGGACTTTATTGCTTTCATTTTTTAGCCTAAATTGAAGCGAAATGATGGTATTCTTTCGAGAATTCAGCTAATGTATGTGCTAAAAATTGTCCAAAATACGCACACTTAACTACAATTTTTCAAATTAAGCTGAAAATAGGCACTTTACTTCACCATGGGTTATCGTTGCGATCATTCTGTGGCCCACGAATTTCTATTGAAGAAGGCAATCGCCACACTTCGCTCATTTCTGTAACATAAGGCTAAAACCTCCTGTGAGTTTTTGCAAAGACGTTTAGCCGTTCGATACGCTGAAAATCAAACTCCATAACTCGAGTTGTTGAGGTCTATGGAAGAATATTGAAGAAAGCTGATATTGAAAATTTTTTTTCTTTTCGCAATTTTTTTGTCCAAGCCCTTTTCGTGTCCATTTGTACTACTGGTTTGCGACTACACAATAATCTACTTATCATTTATACTAAAATATTTTGAGGGTACGATGAAGAACGATTCTAGAAAAAAAACTTTTTGTCTCAATCCATATTTTTCCGCCCGTTTGTGACATGAGTACACATGGATGTGAGCTGTATTGTGAAAGACTTGCTGCTTCTGATAGTCTATGTCGCATTGAAAAATTTTTTAGAAACTTATAGCTACTCAAAATGGGAACCAGCAAAACGTTCATTACTTTTGCACCAACCTACTAGCTTCTCGCATGCAGCATAGGCAAGATTTTGAAGCTGTATTACGGTGCCGCCATTCTACCTCCCATTAATGCTGCTTAAAGGCAGTGTCCACGCAGATTTGGAGCTGCTCAGTTCCAACAGTTTACTGAAGCGGGCTCCTCATGCAGACCATAGCCCGGTTTCGAGTGCAAAATATTGCTTGTGAAGCGAGTAAACCACTTCACAAGTCTGAACAGATACGCCCCTTTATTTGTACCGAAGCAGGGAATCCGACTGGGACGCCGCCGTTGCGACGCTGTCATTGGCTGCAACCACGCGTCCCGGCACGATTACTTGCTTCGGTACGGACAAGGGGGCGTCTCTGTTCAGACTTCTGAAGCGGTTTACTCGCTTCACAAGCAATATTTTGCACTCGAAACTGGACTATGGTCTGTATGAGGAGTCCGCTTCAATAAAATGTTGGAATTGAGGAGCTCCAAATCTGCGTG